CATCTTTGAAAGTACCTGAAAATATAATGACAAAAACGTACTACACGTGCAGTAGTCGCACTGGTCTTGTTCAATGCCCTATTTAAGAAATAAAATTACATATAACGCTTCACAGAAAGTAATGATTGCGCAAGCGATTGCGCGGGTGAACCTCTTTGTTTCCCACAATAATGCCATATGCACTTTTTGACGCGATACAATTTCAACCAGAATAAGTCTAGTTCAGCCGTTTCGCCGACTGACGTCCAGCTGGCTTTCACTAAAATCTAACCGAGGTAAATACTATAATTATAAGTGACACAGCGCACTCTTGACATTGGGGTTCGTGAAGAAAGCGTTTCGCATTTTAAAAAAATGATATTCTTCCTTGTTAAGGAAAATTCTCAAAGAAAAAAGTCAGCCCGCTCATCTTTGAAAAGATTGAGGGTTTTGAGCAATAATCATGATGAAATTGAAATAGATGACATGGAATTGTCCCAACATCTCACTCATATTTCCTCTTGACTGGAATAGCTATATTCAAATTGAATAAAAGAAATAATCTGTTGTGAGAAAAGTGTTCCCTCAACTGATAGGAATTTTTTCTGGAAGTAAGAAAATTTTCCAATAATTAAAATCAGGCCCGGTGGCTTGGCGCAGTTGCTAAGTTCGTTGCCTCACATGCGAAAGGTTCCAAGTTCAAATCCCGGCCGGGTAGAATGGTGCGATCTAACCATTTAAAGTCTTGATCATCATCGCAGTATACCCGCCTTCGACGCCTTCTATCTAAATCAATGAAAATATACATACCCGTTTATACAAAGTTTTCGAGATATTACTGTTTTTCTGTTTTTTCATGAAAAACTTTGTAAACACTCGTTCATTAAGAAAATCAAACAAAAAAATATCAAATTTGAGTCGAGGAAATTGAGTAGAAAATATCTCAATGGAATCGGTTATATAGAAAAATCTAATTCTAATGAATGAAGGAAAGGCAATTGGTCAGGAAGTTATTGGTTCGACCCGTAATGGGTCACACCCACTCCAACTTACCCGCAATGGGAGCGTGCAAAGCGAGCGACTAACAACCCAGTCGACTTTTCTGTAATAGAAATCATTGTACAGTTTCCCGTTACCAAAATATTAACGGACCGTGACTTCTCAGAGTGCAAATTAGATTATGCGAGAATGTTCAATATACAATGATACAATAATTGCGTGTTTAGATTTTAACGGTAAAAATTAACTTCGCGGTAGTGTTCAACGTGCATTAAATAATTCAGAAATTTCAGGATTGAAGACGTAACGATGTCAAATCGAACATTATTTTAAATAACAGGAAACTGCTGATGTTTCGTCAAGGTATAATTTGCCGGTAATTTGACGGATAATGATAATATATTTTTTATTTTTCTCAATACAATGAAAGGAACTAAAAGTTAATAAAGTGGAAAAAATTATTGCAAAATAGTAAAAAAGCAAAACGTAAACAGAAAAAAATTGTGCATTAAAGTACTCGGCAAAGTACATAATTACGTTGAAATTGATGTTCGATCACAATTCTACGTTGATTCGCTTCAGTGCAGAGAGGTAGGAGTGCACAAACTAAAGAGACACCAACTCTGAGCGACTGATTGATTATTTCCGGTGATCCTATGTTCATACATTTAATCGATGGTTCGTTTTTCTTAGTATCTTCAATAAAAAAAATTTCATTCATGTTTTGAAATAAAGTTTTGCAAGTAATAATACTAACGTTAATCTGCAAAATTATTGATTTACTATTTCACATACCTTACCGACACAAAACGAATTCCAAGGGTTTTTTACACTTTTCTTTACTTTATCAAAACTTTATTCAAGATGTATTCATCAGATTTGTAAGCGAATGACATGAAATCTCACTTCTACAAAAGAAATTCTGACTACCGAGTAATATATTCAAATAGTTGATTCTCATATGAGAAGATATGTAAAGCTTGCTTGAAGACCGATTTATTCTTAGGTTTCCCGAATGTACCTCTAACCATTAGAGTAAAATTCATTATACCATTTGATCTCGGCATATTTTATTACGGCACGTTTCATCACAGGAACAGTTGATTACGGGCAGAATTCATTATAGTACTTCATTGCAATTCATTCAATACAATTTAAGAACAAATTTTAAAAAACGGAGCTTCTGCATAACAATTCAATAACAATACACTTAATTACAAAATCCCTTCTGGNATTACGGCACGTTTCATCACAGGAACAGTTGATTACGGGCAGAATTCATTATAGTACTTCATTGCAATTCATTCAATACAATTTAAGAACAAATTTTAAAAAACGGAGCTTCTGCATAACAATTCAATAACAATACACTTAATTACAAAATCCCTTCTGGATGGATAATTCCACTTTTCCCAGCACAATCAATTCCAAAATAAATAACAACAATCACTTTAAAGGAATTCATCACAATTCCTTTAAATACCGATTACCACAGGTTTTCCTATATAATTACATAGGCATACGGGCAAGAATATGATAATGGTGAATCGTACCATAACCCAGGCATCTCCACAAAATTACATTGACAGTGACAGGATGTTTACGTAATTTATTAAACAAAAACCCCTTATGAGAAAGCAATTTCTTGCCTGTCTGACTCAAAACAAAGTGTAGGGGCATTTCGACAACCACTCGGCACTAAATCCGTGCGATAAATGGCACTTGGTGTCCCACTGGACTCAGTTACCTCACCCCCCACCGTTAATTTCTATTTAAAAGCGACTACAGAGAAATCAATCACACACAGACGAATTAAATCGTTGCATTTGAATTGAAATAAGGTGAAAATAGAAGCCTTGAATTTAAATCTAAATTGGTGAAGCCCCCAATAATCAATAATTCCGTGATGAATTGTCCATACCGTAATGTACCGTAACTATACACAACTATAATCAATAGAGGTAATACCGGTTTTCCCAGATTCATTAATTTTTTTTACGACTTCCGCTAAAAATATTCGGTGATTCGCACCGAAATATCCCTATATTATAGGGGAAATTCGAATGCGAATATGAAAATATTAAGCGAATATTGCAATATGAAAATATAATTTTAATGAAGTTATTCTTAAATTGACTCATTTTTACACTCCCATTATGTCTCAACATCATAAGGTTCACAGGCAAGTCTCATCGGATTCATACTAATTATTCGTTCCTTTACACACAGAAAAATCTAAACATATGTAAATTACGTTTTGCTAAACGTAAATTACATTTTGATAAACGTAATTTACGCTCAACGTCAATATGATGTCTGGTGCCTTTTTTTCCGTCATGAAAATCGGAATTTTCAAATTTCAGACCAAATGAGAAGAGATGAAATGAATTTAATTGTTTGACATATATATTTAACGTATTCCACAGATCAAAACAGAGAAAAAGAAGAATCGAAATACAAAGTTAAAACATATTTTTCATTACTTACCATATGTTTAAATCATGTAAAATGAAGTCAATGAAGCAAAATTTCAAACGAAACACTACAAAAGATATTTTTAGAGATTAAAGTAGAACATATTTGTGTACAAATAGGAATTACAAATGATTGAAATTACATCGAGTTGTAATTCTATAAATTTTATTAAATGAGTGAATTATTCCATGTAACTTAGCTAGCGCGTGCGAAGCGCGCGTCCTTCCTAGTCTTGAAAATAGTCCAGGGCTTCCAATGTTTAAGCTACAGAGGTTTCTTTTTTTTCAAAATTTTTGAAAAAATATGCACAATAACAATTCCCAATTAGTTTTTTGAAATTCAATTCCTACACAGCTAATTTTATTATTTTAATTGAAGAATTGCACTATTCATGGAGAATAGCGGGAAAAATATTTCTGAAAGAATCGAGGATATATTTTTAATATTTTAAGGATAATTGTTCTGCATATTTTACATGAATGGCGCAAATTTTTATATTAAACAAAACGAATTAGCTGTGTAGGAGTCGAATGTCAACAAAACTAATTAGTAATTGGTATTGTACACATTTTTTCAAAAATTAAATAAATTAACGATGCAAATTACGTTTATGTAATCTGTAACTGAGCGTAATTTACGCTTCAATTTCAAGCGTAAAATACCTTTTCGAAAGCGTAAAATTCGACTTCTTAAACGTAATTTACGTTTAAGATTAGGTTTTTCTTTGTGTATGTTAATGAGCCATTAAAAAAGACTGATTAATTAGACATCTTTCATATCTCGGAAATTATTCAATACCAGAGCTTCCGAGCGTTGAAGCATTTGTCGTTCCATGCCTCCATGGTGCAGTAAAAATCAGATCAGGTTTTAATCTAAGATTGTGTGCTCATTTCAGGCGAAATGGTGAAGCTGAATGACGGTTGGGTATTTAAGCGACGTACCAAGTTGAGATGTCACAGTTGAATTGATTAATTCATGATACGAATTGTGGGAGGGATCATCTTCATGCATCGATTGGGAAGTTTTTGCGTTACCAGAGGGTATCCAGGAAGGAGGATTATCCCCATGATTGAGGATAACTGCAATGTATGAAATTTTCATTTGAATCGATTAAACCCATTACAAAAAAAGCTGCTCCTTTTATTACTAATTTTCACTCATATTGCTTTTTCGAGATGTTCAGTTCCCTAAAAAAATACTTTTTCCTATTGTTTATTCGAGTATGCTACAAAATTTGACGAAGAACATTTCTGACATTTTCATTCATATCTTTTCAATTTTTCGGGGTTTTTTAGTTTGATAAAAAATAGAATAAATTTAGGAAAAATCACAAATTAATGAAAAACACCAAGGAATAATTCTCCATCAATGGCTTCAATATTTTTTACATATTATAGGAGTTAATCGAGGCTATAGAAACGTCAATAACTCTAACAGGATTTTTTAAGTTGTAGAACAAATTCCACATGCCGATTTGATCAGAAAAATCTTTGTCCTTCTACACTTAATTCATATCAGAAAAATTTTACAGTGTATTTGATTCGAAAATGCGGAGCTATGATACGAGCGGTCTCCTTGAACAATTGAAGAAAGTGCGCCTCAAAGTGAACCTTGTGTTCATCTGCGTGTTTGTATGCCTGATGTCCCTCTCGAGCGCAAGGAATCATCCACCGGAATTCCTCATTAATGGACAGACTGAAATTGTGGTGAGGCTCAAGGAGGGCCCGGAAACACCAGTTGGTTTGTATTATTCCCTAGCCAGACTGCCGCAAGTAACATCTGTAAAAAAATGACGGGTGTTCTCGTTCTCTTCAGGTATATTAATATACAGACTGCGAGGAATTGATGTCGATGGTGATGCTCTTACGTTCGGGGTAAAGGATCAGCCTGGGGCAGACGTGATACGAGTAGAAAACTTGGGTACCCAAGAGGCCAATGTATTTCTGAACAAACTACTTGACAGAGAGGTAAGATGAAGTTAAGAAATGATCATTGGAGTCAGAACGTAACTCGAATTACGGAAACATTCCGTGTTACTCCAGAGAGTTTCGCGTAGCGTAAAAGGGACCATCCGCCTCCTAGAAACGTGACCGTTCCACTCGGCCTCCGCCACAACTGCGAATCGAATCATCATGGGGCAGAGTAATAAAATTGTCAACGTCCATCAGAGTGAAATCTTTTACCAACGATCCATTACGTGGTTAGGTGTAACAACTGAATCAAAGTTTATTTCCGGCATCGAATTATATATTCATCCATTATACTTTGAGCAGTTTTTGGCAAGTGTAGGGAAACAAAGACTATTTTCTATTATTGCAAACAAGTAGTATGGAAAGTAGTTACTTGTTGCTTTCACGGAGGGGAGTAGTGTTCTTTATAACATATGTGTACTTTTATAACATTAACCTATCCTAGCTTGTATTATAAAGTATTGTGTGATACACATGAGAAGAAAGTTGTTTTAAACTTGTGATAGTAACCACTAGCGCGGGCGGCAACCCTCAAACTCATTGAGACCCTTTTTTTTCTACTGGTATCTGAATATTACTACTCACGCCTACGCGGAATGCATCATTTTGCTTCTTTTTCTCCCACGTATGGGCAGCTAAATGCGAGTTTAGGATCCAAGAAGAGTCCATAAAATGAGCCTTTATGCATTGATATATGACAAAGTTATGAATGATTTCTCCTAAATTCGTTTATTGCTCGAACAATTGGTTGACTAATGAAAGTTACATTGTTTCGGGCCTTCTAAAGCATTAGCTCTCCATTTGATTACTGACTTGATTTCCTTCGTGATGGAAGAACGAAATGACTGATTCATTCATTCATTCATTCATTCACAGGTTCGAGATGAATATGCATTAGTTCTAACACTAACTGATCATAAACTGGGGGACGGGAACTTCATAACTCAGAGTCTGCTCCTCCTTGTAGAAGACATAAATGACAACCTCCCAATTTTCCGTCCACATCCAACAACACTGACGGTAAGAGAAGACTCGGGACCAGGTATCCTGCTAACCGTTGAGGCTAACGACGTAGACGAAGGCCCTCACGGTCAGGTGGTTTATCATCTCCAGGAACTCGATGGAGATAACGATCTATTTTCGATCTCCACTGTCAATGGAAAAGGGGTCATACGACTTGTTGGTGAACTGGATTATGAAAGAAAGTACTTGTACCAACTGAGAGTTCTTGCTGTAGATCGAGCAATTAATGGAAAAGTAATTCGTTTCTTATCAACGATTCTTTACTTACCGTTATTATTCACTATTGAATACAATCAAAACTGAAAGAATAAGAGAGATTCCGAACTGAACTTTCGTTGAAAGAATGTGGCATGGTTTTACATCAATTCTCACGAATGCATTTAGAATAAAAAAAAAATCCACAATTAAGGTGAATATCCCCGTCGGCGAACGTACAAATAGGATATCGTAATTTTTTATGGGCAATATAAAATTCACTTTGAGCGTGCCAATGGTTCCTCTTAATGGGCTGCCAAAATGTGGTACTTAATGATCAATTGCAATACACAAATAACTCCGGGTACCGAGCAGCGTCAGGTACTGGTCCAGTACTACTGGACATTCGCCTTACAAAAAATTGAAAGAATTCCAATCCAATATTTGGACTATTAATCGACGATATATGCCACAGCTCAACTTATCTGACTCGAGTAATTTAACTCTCTCGGAAACCAGCAAATCAACTATTTTACTGTGATAAAATTTTCTTCAGCCCCTACGCTTTTGCAACTTTCCAACCTAACTCATTTCCGTTATTTCGGTTCAGAAAAACGCTTAAAAATGAGGTGTATATACCGTAATTTTCTAGTAGTATTAATCTTTTTATAGCAATTGTTTGTGTCAATCCACCACTGCTTAAACAATTGTGAAAAAAATTCATGAACATAGAATAATTTTTCTTTCCATTGATAACAGGTAAATACCGGCACCACAGCTATTTTAGTAAAAGTCCAAGATGTAGAGGACCAACCACCGGAGTTCATTGCCATGACTCCAGTTGCAAGAATTAGTGAAAATGCGAAGATTGGAACATCCGTTCTTCAGGGTTTGTTGAACATCATTCTTATCCTTTTTTTGCACAGAAAGAAAAAAAACGTTTCTGAATCGAAAGGCTGTATCACAAGTATTCGATTCAGCTATCTTTTTGTATCAATAGTGTAGCCATTGTTTCGTCCATTCGAATGTTTGAACTTGGTTAATTTATGGGAATTCTCACAAATATACAAATGAATTCAATCATATTTCTGTTTCGTTTTCTGCATTTTTCTCTTTAACGTTTTCTTCCTCATTAAACACTTTTTTTCGTCATTGACAGTTCGCGCGATCGACGGAGATAAAGGAATTAATAACCGTGTATCCTACAGCATCACTGAGGGTCCCAGATACCTCTTCGACATTGATTCCACCTCAGGCGTAGTGTTTACCCGCGGTCAACTAGACCGTGAAGCAGAAAACAATAACGACGGAACCTTCATTCTCGAAATAACGGTGAAAGAAATTTCAAACGTTCTCCCCACACCTTCAGTGACTACAGAAGTAACTATAATCTTGATTGACGTGAACGACGAAACTCCCAGATTTCGCAGTGATCGATACCTGGCAGAGATCAATGAAAATGCACCTCAGAACACACCAGTCAACTTCATCGGTGACTCTATCCCCGAAATCTATGACCATGACTTGGGAACCAACGGTACCTTCCGAATGTTTGTTGATGGAGATGGGGGAGTCTTTGACATTACCCCTTTCAGAGGCATCAACGAAGCCCCCTTCCTCATTCGCGTTAAAAACCCAAAAAAACTAGACTTCGAACAAACTTCAGTAATAAATTTTACCCTGGTAGCCAAGGAAATCATTCCTTTTCAACCAAAATTCACAGCCGTTCCCATCACAGTTCTAATCAAAGATCAGAACGACAATTACCCAGAATTCATCCACAATGTTTATGAGGTAAATGTTCCTGAAAACAGCCCCATTGGTACTACAGTAGCTTGGGTCCAGGCCCTGGACAAGGACAGTGGAAATTATGGAAGCAAAGGTATCAGATACACCAACTTAGGGGGAAGTATAGCATATGCATTAAAATTAAATGCAACATCTGGAGTCATCAATATCAAACAAACTGGACCAGGGTTCGATCGAGAATTAGTCTCACGACATTATTTGACGGTTGAGGCTCGTGATGACCTTGGAAGAGGGAATCGAAATACAGTGCAGTTAATCGTGAACATCGAGGACGTCAATGACAATCCTCCAATCTTCTTGCAGAACAAATATGAAGCTGTTTTACTAGAAAATAAAGAAGAGTTTGAGTCATCTTTGAGAATAGAAGCTTTCGATATTGATCTGAATGGCACGAAAAATAGTCAAATCATTTATTCCATAGTTGCAAGTGAATTCTCGAGAAATTTTACGATTGATTCTAAACGAGGAATAATAAAACCGGCATTTGCAATGGATTATGAAAATCTACCAATCAATCAGGGCCACAAAGAGACTTCGATTCGAGCTTTGAAACTGACTGTTCGAGCAAGGGATATGGGAACGCCCAGTCTTAGTTCAGATGCACCCCTAACTGTTTATTTGAAAGACATTAATGATAATGAACCGATGTTTGAACGCTCCCTCTATCAAAAAAACATTCCTGAAGATTTAGAAGGAGGAACAACCGTTCTACAGGTCAAAGCATGGGATAAGGATTTATCTGCCCCGAATAACAAAATTGTTTACCGAATTCAAACTGGGGCTGGGGATAAATTTATCATAAATCCTGAAAGTGGAATCATTCAAGTTGCTCCAGGCTCCAACTTGGATCCTGATCTAACATCTCCAAAAATGACAAACTATGTTCTGAATGTTGTAGCAATAGATAGTGGAACAGAAAGTCAGAAATCTGCAGAAGTTCTAGTAAACATTACAATAATCGACGTTAACAATAAACCTCCAATGTTCAAAGATCCAGGAACAGTTGTCATCAGAGAAAATACTCAGATTGGATCTTACATTCATCGTGTAGTAGCGAATGATCCGGACATATCCCCAATACTTCGGTACCGAATAGATTCAAATTCTTCAGAAGCCCGAAATGAAGAGGGAACTTTGATCAGACTCCAGGAGTACGATTACCTAGCCGCACTTGAATTAAATGCCATTGATGGTTTGTTGAGAGTGAAAAGACTCATTGATAGAGAAAAAGTCGAGACAATAAAACTAGGATTAGTTGTAGAGGATCTAGCAGCAGTCGAAGGAGTCCAGACAGCTTCAGCAACACTCAATATCCTGATTGAAGATGAGAATGACAATAATCCAAGATTTAAAAGACCATTCTACAGAAGGTCATTGACAGAAAATAGTAAAAATGGGGTTCACATTGCTAGCATTGTTGCCGATGATGCTGATAAGAACCGAACTATAACTTATTCGTTAGAAAGTCAACCAGAAATAACCGACTTGATTCATCTGGATTCTGAGACAGGGGAAATGGTTGCTGCAACTAAAATCGATAGAGAAGTATTTGCATGGCTCAATATGACAGTTCGTGCCACAGACTCTGGAATTCCTCCCAGATCAAGCTTCTCTGAAGTTTATGTTCAGATATTGGACGAAAACGACAATAATCCTTATTTCATCACTGATATCACCAACGTCACAGTACTGGAGAACTCGAAAATCTCCACTGAGATCACAAGAATGGAGGCCAGAGATCCAGACAGTGGAGATAACGGTAAAATCACGTACCTGTTAGATCGACTATCGTCACAAGGAAAATTTGCAATTCATCCAGACACTGGTGCACTAACTGTGGCGGATATTCTCGACTGGGAAATTAAGAGCAGTTATATTTTAATAATTGAGGCTTGGGATAATTACCAATTTGGTTATGCTGCTGGCGAGTCTAGAAATGCGTTCAAGCAAATAGAAATTATAATAGAAGATGTTAATGATAACCCACCGATAATTGATGTTCCCCAGGAATGTATTACGATCTCAGAGTTTCATGATACCAAAGATGTTGTTGCTTTGGTGAAAGCTAGAGATGCTGATGATCCAGAGAGCCCTAATGGTCGACTTACCTTCAGAATTATCTCCGGCAATGGGATGGCTTTCTTTATGCTAGAGCAGGTTGACCATTGGACTGCGAAAATCAAATCTATTGGATCGTTAAGAGGAAAATTTGGAAATTACTCACTGAATGTAGAAGCTCGAGACCTGGGAAATCCTCCAAATACAGACGAAAAAGTGTTGAATATTTGCGTGACTGATTACAATGATAATCCTCCAGTTTTCCTGAGCCCTCAGCATAACATGACGATACGAGTACCAGAAAATGTCACTGTTGGATCTTCGATTATTCAAGTGGAAGCTATGGACGCTGATACCGGACTGAATGGAGATGTTCATTATCGGTTGAAGCAGGACCTCGCAGGCCATTGGAGGACATTCCAAATTGATGATAAAACTGGCGTGATAACGTTGAAACTTCCATTAGATCGTGAGACTCAAAGAATGTACGAAATTAGAGTGGAAGCCTATGATTTCGGGACTCCGACTCCACTTAGTACAGATCTGGACCTTATAATTTATGTTAAGAATATTAATGACTATGAACCACAATTTATGGTTGATGTATTTCCGGTGACGTTCACTGAGGAGCAGTTTCCAGGTGCGGAATCTGTGACCCTTCCTGAAACGATTGATAAAGATGAGGTTGATGATCTTGACGATCCACCAACACAAGTCTGTTACTTCATTGTTGGGGGTAATGATAATGAGTATTTCAGACTGGATATGATCACGCATAAGTTGACGACTGACAAAACATTGGATAGGGAGGAGCAAGAGGAACATCTGTTGATGATTAAAGCAACGGAGAATTGTAATACGCTACCGATCAATCAGAGCTTCTTCAATGAAGAGGATGATACTCTGTTGAAAGTGGTCATCACAGTGAGCGATGTAAATGATAATTCGCCGAAGTTTGTAAGTAAGGTTTTCACTGGGGGAGTCACCACGGCGGGGGATTTCGGTACGCAGTTTATGCACGTAAAGGCGATCGATCTAGACAAGGGAGATAACGCTGTGGTGAGTTACTACCAGGTTGGTAAAATCCACATGATACTGACTGAGGGCCTAGATGACATGAGTTTGCAGCCCTTCCTTATAGACAAACTGACAGGAGCCGTCAGTCTTAACTTCGATCCTCAACCCAGAATGAAAGGATATTTCGACTTCATGGTTATTGCCAACGACACTGACGGTCTGCAGGACACAGCACGTGTCTTTATCTACTTGCTACGAGAAGGCCAGCGAGTTCGATTCGTCCTGAGGCAACACCCACCCGAAGTTCGCAATCGAATCGACGCTTTTAGAGAAATTTTAGGAAATGTTACTGGCGCCATTGTTAATGTTGATGAATACAAAATCCATGAGAATCATGATGGATCAGTGGATCGCACGAGAACAGATCTTTATCTACATTTAGTAAATCGACAGGACAATTCGATCTTAGATGTCTCACAAGTCCTGGAGTTGGTTGATCGAAATATTGAGAAACTAGATAATCTATTCAAAGAATTCAATGTCCTAGATACTCAACCAGCTCAATCATCTCAAATTGTACAATACGAGCAAGCCGGCACCACCCTGTGGTTATTGGCTCTCACAATTTTTCTAGGAGCACTTTTAATGCTCTGCATTGCCCTCTGCTTATCTCAGAGGGCATCCTTCCAAAGACAACTCAAAGCTGCCAATGCCGTTCCCTTCGGCCCGACAGACTCTGAATTTATTCGGGGTCCGGGGAGGGTTCCGAATACCAATAAACATAGTGTTGAGGGAAGCAATCCCATTTGGATGCATGCTTATGAGAATGAATGGTTCAAGAGTGATGAGTCGTTTAGTCACACTTCAGATAGGGATTCTCTTGATGAAAATGCGCTAAATAATGAGGAGACAGTAAATGAGGAAAGACCAGGACAGAGAACAAACGATAATCCTTATAGTGCTATGTCACAACAGAGACCGTCTTCAATTTCCAGGTAAATTTTTTCATATATTACAAAAGAAAAATAGTGTTTTCAATCAAAGCTTTTGGAATATCATTGTCATATGAAATAGAATTGATCGTCCTATCACCTAACAAATTCTACTAAGATCAACTGAATGGTACCTTGAATCAACAAATATCATATATTTGATTCCGAAATCTCTTTTTCCGCAAATGAAAATCATTACCCCCTCACCCATGTAGGGCAATACAAAGTGGCTGAACATTGGGCCAAACTCGGCGCCAAGTTCCCTGATAATCAGCTGCGATCTTCGGCCGATGTTCCGCCGAACATTGGGACGTTACTTCGGGCCATTATAGACACCAATGTACGCCCAATATTGGCGTTGATCATCAGTCAACTATCGGTGAAATAAAATTTAAAAATCAATCGTACATATTAGTTTCAATAGTTTATAATCGTTTCATAACCCTTCTTATCCATTCCAATGAATATAAACAGCAAAAAATGAAATTTAAAAAAAATTGCCCGTGGTGGGATTCGATTGCGAGTCCTCCTGATCTGCAGTCATGCGCGCTGTCCACGGGATCTGAAATTGCTTATGAAGATAGAATTTTTTCGGGTATATAAATACCACATGGTGTTTTTGTTTGAATCCCCGAATGCGATTGTCAACAATTAATTAAGGAATGTGTAACTCCGATGAGAAGGGTTGATTTATTAATTTATTATTCTTAAAATATATAGGCTTTCACTCGGGGTATCGATATCTATATTCTGTATATTAGGAAAGAGGATGGATGCATGCTATCCATCCATTTCCAATCCATTTCATATCCATTTATTCGGAAAATAGCCTACAAATATTAAGTCAGCTCCGATCATCAGCCGTGGAGTGGCCTTTCATCGGTGCCCCGATATTTGGTACGCGGATATTGAACCAATGTTTGGCCTTTAATCAGAGCCCCGATTTTCGGCGACCGGATATTAGACCGATGTTTGACCGTTTTGTATATATCAGCAAATCCTACATGGACAGGCACGGCGACGCTTGGGCCCAAACTGTTCATACGACCAGAGGGTAATAGCGCGTTGATGATCGATACATTGTATTAACCCCGGCCGATGGGACAAGCCGGTGGGTCAGTACTTCGTATCGACGCCGTACGTGAGGGGTTCATTTTCAGTCAGAGAAACATAAGAAAATAGGTACTATGTTGACTGCAACAAAAGAACAAGAATGCTCTATCTAAAAGGGTGAAATTAATGAATTTTCATCTTTACAGCAGTGTTGAAACCGTGACTGATAACCAAAATGCGTTCTGTCGAGAATCTCCAAGCTACCAACACCAGAATCCCGTACCAAATAATCCGCTCGGAAAAAAAGTGGAAACTACAGAATTGTAGAATAATATCTATCTTCCTATTTTGTAAATAATCAGCTACTTTTTTTACTCAATATTCATTCATGACGACTTTTTTAAAATGCCAGAGACCATTTATAACTTATCTTTCCTACAGCAACAATATTGTTATTTTGTTGGAGACGAAAACAAAGATCACTCTAGTAAACTAAGCTACTATACATGATTTTGTAACAACCATACCAAATTTGACTACACATGATTTTTGGAATGATTTAATGGAAAGATTAAGCTGTAAATAAACAAAAACATATTTATAAAAAAATTCAATATTCGTACCTGAAAGTCCAGAATTGGGGCAATGAACTTTACCCTGCAGTCCTTCAAGCTCGTAGATGATAATGGCCGACAGGATGGTGACTAGTAGCACTTTCCTGGATTTAAATAAGATAATCCTGTACGGCTAAATACAAATTGGTAACACGAAACGGGGTCTCACCCGACCAATTGCAATCCAAGGTCGGTTTGGACGGACACCCTTTTATCCCAACTAGCGCCGCCGCGGCCGTAAGCGGCCGCGGCTTTGATGCCCTCTCATTATGCCTTTTCTCATTTTTTTCCTTGTGTTTCTTTGTCAAAATTGATTATTTATCATCGTCTTATTAAACTTTCAATAAGTGATTCACTAATTCTGAATTTCAGTGCGCACTAAATGGTGTTCTAACTATAATTCTCATCAAAATTCCATTTAGAATGCAAAACAATATTTATTAAGGATGTACTACACCCTTTCGACCAAAATTCACGTTTTTTTCCATTTTTCTGGTAAATTATTGATCGAATTGACGCTAAATAATATACAATTTTTGGGTTTTATCGTTATTGACTGACTCACGAAGTTGCATGGTAGGGCAATCATTGTTCTGCTTTTTTTTTTAAGTTTTGTGAATTTCTGAAAAGATCTAGAAAAAAGTCGGAAAATGATTGGATAATCATGAAATTTCGTGAGGTATTAAGTAATGATAAGACGTAAAAACGGTATATTTTTGCACGTCAATCCGATCAATAATTTGATCGAAAGGATGTAATACATCCTTAAAGTTCTCGCAATCAAGAATTTTAGTGTTTGCAACCCCTTTTATTCTCCTTCACACCTTTACAAAAGCATTTAATTATTTCTGCTGGAAAAATTACGTGACGGATTCTGATGCTCCTTCGCTAATTTGGAGCATTTTCTTCTCATTCAGGGTCTTTTTCCCAATTTTATTCGACGATGCCATGAATTAGAAACTTTGATGAATTATCCGAAATTTTTTCAAATTCTCCATGAAATCCCGAAATTCTTGTGAATTTTTCTTGAAAGGCTTGGAAATTTTTGTGAAATTATGTTCTCAGATTTTTCAAATCATATTCTTCTTTCCCATTTGAATCAGAATGTAGTAGTTGGGGTCACGGGACTCCTGCACATCAGTTTTATTTGGAAGACTGCATTCTCCTATCAATTGTTCACCCATTGTTTATTCAAAAATTTTGTAATATTTGAGAGATGCAGAAAATTTCCTTTAATTTTCGACGAACCCGTGCTTTTCTTCGATTTTTTTCTCCGAAAACCTCGTAGTTGTTTTAAATTTTCTGGAAAACTCCCGAATCATCTTACATGCGGGAAACAACCGACAATTTCCCTGACTTTTGAGGGAACGTGTCAACTTCCTTAAAGTTCCGATAATTCATATTTATCCTATTGGAGACGGATTTCGTGAAGAAGTTGAAACACTTCATCATTAATTGCCAAAAATCTTCTACTAATAAGCATTCCTGGAATTGGATCTCCCCTAAATTTTTCATATTACTATTGGTTTTAACAGTTTCAGCTTTGCATTATGATCTTAGTCAAGCCGCTGTAACCTGCCGCTAGTTTCAGCTTCATTATTGGTCATTGGATCATTTATAGCATATTTCATCGTTAAGCCGAATTAGTATATTACCGGTCAAGCACTGTAAAAAGACTTGTTAACGACATAAACTTAACGAGATAAATAATTTGTCGCCTCAAAATCTTTTTTTTTTCACGTACACAAATCAAGCGGAAAAGAAGTACACTATTCCGCTGATTACAAAAAAGCTTCGTAGAAGGTTTTGAAATTTTCTATGGATCAGAGGTTTGATCTTCTCAAACTTATCCGTTTGTGACCTCAGAACTGGACTTTGATTTCTCACTCAATAACTATCAATGGCGGGGAAACAAATGAGTAATATTGGAAATAATAGAGAAAGTCGCAGTAGAGATTATACAGTCGTATTTTTGCTGAATGGTTCTTCTGTCAGCTCAAACTTCTGCTTTGGGGGAAATTTTTTGGTTTGCAGTCAAACAGATTATTATTTATCATGATATTTGAATCCTGGCATTCTACTCGAAAGAATATGTATTCATATGGCACTGTCAGATTTTCAAGTGGAAAGAATAAATTTTTCGCTGCAGAATATTTTCTCGTGAGGAATAATCATCTTGAGACAAGAAAATTTTGTACAGGTGAACATTTATCTTTTCGGTAGAGCTAAGTTTTTCTCTCAGTGAAGCTACAAGACGAGACAAAAAATACCTAATTCTTGTCTTATCTGGTCTTGCGACATCACTACGAAGAATCTAAGAATTCGAAGGAAGGAAGGTGTATTTCCATACAAAGCGCTTGCCTAGCTCTTATACAGGGTGTCCCATTAAAAAAAAGGCCAAGTATCTCCTAAGGCGGGCAAGTAACACAAAAATTTTCGATACAAATATCGTAGGGTTTCGAGGAGGAAATTCGATGCATTCATTATTTTGAGCTTTTAAGCTCATGCATGGCAGTTGCAAGCACAAAGCGCTTTTTTTAAAATGACAACCGCATTTTTCACTCTAATGAAACTTATCCATCTTGATGACTTGTATTCAGATACCTCGTCATTCATGTAATTTCCTCTAATTTTACTCGAAAAATGCCACAAAAACGAATTCTGTGGTCACACCAAAGATTCAAACATCCTTGGCCCACCTTGGGGTAATTGTTCCGTTGATCTGTTTACCAACAGGAGTTATCAAATGTAAACAATAAACAAAAAATTTCCTACTACTTCGAGGATTCTTGTATTCTAATCAGTGTTAATTTAACCAGAATCGAGTTAGATCACTTGTCATTTCATTAAACACATCACGATGTATTCAGCCAGTGAATAGCGCGCACATGTTCGTGCTATTTTTTTCTTTTTTTTTTTGCACAAGAGATGCGAAGCAGACTTTACCTCCAGGTGGTGCATCCTGGATCACGCTAAAAAAAGTCTGAATCTCAATTTGACTAGAACTGGTTTTTGTGGCATTTTTCGAGTAAAATTAGAAGAAATTACATGAATAACGAGGTATCTGAAAACAACTCATGAAGATGAACAACTTTCGTTGGGGTGAAAAATGTGGTTGCCGCTTTAAAAAAAGCACTTTATGTATGCAGCTTGCAAGCATGAGCTTGAAAGCTCAAAATAATAAATGCATCGAATGATCCCCTCGAAACCCTCTAATTTTTGTATTCAACATTTTTTTGTTACTTATTCGCTTTGAGAGATATTTGGCCGCATTTTTTCAAACGGGACACCCTGTATGTCACTCAGAAAGACACTCTGTATTAAAACTTCGTTAAC